CCCCCCGCACCTGCCCCAGAGCCTGCTGCTGACCAGGGCAGAGCAGTATCTCTCTCCTGGGGGGCAGTGGAGAGACCCTTCCCGGTGCAGGACAGGGAAATTCTTAGCACTAGGGAAATGGTTTTAAGGCACTACACAGGGCTGTTCCCCAATAAGAGGAACAGAGGGAAGGCAGGTGATTTCCTATATGGAGGGTAACTTCAATCTTATGCCAGGAGACACTAGCCAGGCCCCTGGGGACTAGAGGTCCTTGCTGATACCTGCCTCCCTCGTGTGCCCCCAAACCACCCATCCCTGGGCTAAGCGCTTTGAGATCCCTAAGTGCAAAGGCATTCTTGAGAGACAGCTCCTGCTGCGAAATCCTCCAGTTAACCAGGTGTGAGGCGTCTGGAGGAGAGGAAGGAGAATGGGGTGCTGTGTTCCCTTCCCTCCTGTTTGCGATAAGGGCAGCGGGGGCCCCTCCCAGGATGAAGGGAAGCAGTGTAGCGGCCACATGCCCCCCACGTCCAGCTTTGGGAGTCTTGGGCAAGATGGCCAGCAGCTGGGGGGAGAGAGGGCAGCTTTGGCAGTGGAAGGCTTTGGGCCGGGCAGAGCTCAGGACACATGGCCCTGATGGACACAGGGCCCTGGGGGGTCTCCCTGCTTCCTCATACCCAGGTCTGCCCGAGTCCAAGTGCATTTGAGAAATCAGCTCCTAAGAGCGTAACAGAATGAACAGTTAACTGCACCCCAGGGGCTGTGGCCATCTCTCCCGCTCCCCTCCCACCCTCCTCATCTGCTAAACAGAAACTCATGGGACCACAGCAGTGACCGACGGGTGGGGTTCAGATATGGCCAGGCCACGTCCTGGCGTCCAACTGGAGGATTCTCAGGCACGCTCCCTCCTTGTCCTCCCCCTCTCGACCTTAACCCTTGCTGCTTAACACGTGGCGGGCAGGACGAGGGGGTGTAAGCAGCTCACCCTGGGGTGACCCATCCTGACAGCCAAGAAACCCCTTTCAGGCTTAAAGCTCGGTCATCTGCCCTAGTCCTCACAGGACTCTGGACCAATGCCAGGGACAGGGGCAGGAGGAAATCTCGGGTCATCTGGGGTGGGATAGGGGGTGGGTCAGAAAAGTGAGGCCTCCCTGACGGTCACATTCGAACTGCCACCATGAACTGGTCCAGCCCCGGGAAAGTCTGCAGGCTGCAGGCAGGCCAGACGGTGCTAGGCCCTTCTCTGGGACAGCAGCGGGGGCAGACAGGCTTCAGGGACAGTAACTCCAGTGTACGGACGTCCAGTTTCTCCAGCCCCAGCCTTAGTCTCTGCAGCAGGAATTCCAGTGTGCGCCCTGAGACCTCCAGTGTGAGACGGGCCGAGCACACGACGGCCCTGACAGGCGGCGGCGGTGCAGGGTCACCCCCGCCCCTGCCCTGCTCCAGTGTAACATGGTCACATCCAGTGTGGGAGAAGAGAACCCGCCTCGAGGGGCCCCGGGGTCCTCGGGGTGGGGGCCCCTTGGGGCGTGGGGGCCCAGCTCAGTCACACAGGCGGGAGAAGTGGAAGAAATAGTCTGTGACGGCCTGGGTGGGCGCTTCCAAGCTGCAGTTGGCCTGACCCTGGGGAGGAAGGGCAGGGGGATGGGGCTGAACTCATCTTCCCGCAGACCGCCTGGCTGGCCCCCGAGCAGGCACTGCGGGCTTTCTGTCCCCTCCAATCCCCAGCACCATTTTAGCAACATTCAGCTCAAGTATTAATTAAGCACCTGCTGTCTGCTGAGGCCCGGGCACAGCCCTTTTTGAATTGGGGGGGGGCCTCTCGTGAGACTTGGAGTTTGGATATTAACTCCCCCCCCATACCTCCCGTTTGTGTCTGGGCCGGGGAGGGGGCCGATACTCACCAGCAGGGCCACTCGGAAATGGTACACGAAGTCCTGGAATGACAAGATGGCCACGGGCCACTGGTGGGAGGTACCCTGGGGAGAAGGGGTGGAGAGAGTGAGGGGCAGCCCAGGAACGCCCCACCCTGGGATCCTGGCCTGACCCCTCACACCTCCAGTCCAGCCGCGTCTCTGGAAAGCATACAGGGGACACTGAGGCCACCCAATACACCAGAGACTGAGGGAGACTGAGAGCTGGCAGTGACAATGGCGGCCCACCCATCAAGCCAGCATTTATTAAGCACCCACTGTATGCCAGGCACTGTGCTAAATCCTGGGGACCCAAAGACAAAGAAGGACCTCCGAGGCGTCTACACAAGCTGAAGACAATGGCCATGGCTACAGGGCTGGGAGGCCCAGCAGGCCCAGGAGAGCCTCACAACATCCCTGCTGTTCTTGGCCCCGTTTGACAGATGAGCAAATGGAGGCTGATAGAGTCACAGCGTTGGGAAGCAGCGAGGGCAGAATTTGAATTCAGATCTTCCTGACTCCAAGCCCAGCGCTTATGCACTGAGCCACCCAGCTACCCCAAAATACAGAGAATCCATACGGACCAAAGCAGACGGGAAGAGAGGGCGAGGGAGCATCAGGAAAAGGGAGCTCCGCGGAAGGCATCCTAGGCATGGGGGACGGCCAGGGCAAAGATGGGGCCAAGGGAGGGAAGGAAAGGGGAATAAGCATCTATTAAGCGCCTACTGTGTGCCAGGCCCTGAACGAAGTGCAATCATTATTTCATTTGATCCTCAACAATCTGGGAGGTAGGGGGTGTTACCTCTATTTTACAATTGAGGGAACCGAGGCAGACAAAGGTTCTAAGTGATCTGCCCAAGGCCAGGTAGGTGGCACAATGGATAGAGTGCTGGGCCTGCAGTCAGGAAGACTCATCTTCCTGAGTTCAAATCTGGCCTCAGACACTTCCTAGCTGTGTGACCCTGGGCAAGTCACTTCACCCTGTCTGCCTCAGTTTCCTCATCTGTCAAGTGAGCTGGAGAAGGAAATGGCAAACCACTCCAAGATCTTTGCCAAGAAAACCCCACATGGGGCCACAAAGAGTCAGACACGACTGAAAGGACAAAATAAGATCACATAGCTAGTAAGTGCCTGAGGCTGGATTTGAACTCAGGTCTTCCTGACTCCAGGCCCAGCACTCTACCCAGCGACTTCAGAGGAAACAGGAGATGGAGTGATGGAGGTCAGTTTGGCTGGCTCTCAGCGTAGAAATGGGTCTGTGTGTGAGGCTGGAGGCAACAGGAAATGACCCATCTCGGGCGCTCTGGCTTCCTGGGTGCTCGCAGCAGGGGGGCCCTGCCTGGGGAGGGCAGGAGGGCCCACTCACACCTGTGACCTGCCAGCTCTTCACAGAGACCCGGCCCTCTACCCTGTGGGCCTACGGGACTCCAAGTCCCCTGAGGGCAGGCGCAGTCTCCCTGCACAGGCTAGGACAGAGCCAGATTGGCTGGAGAATGTCCAGAAGAGGCCGAACGGGGGCCCAGGGCCTCAAGCTCAGGCCACGTGAGGATCAGGGAAAGGAAATGGGGACATTTCCCCTGGAGGAGGGAAAATTCACCTCTGGCGAAGAAGGGCCAGACGTCCTGGCCACCACAAACACCAGCCAACCCCCTGCCCCATGGGCAGCTAGGCCCGAGAGCCCCAAGACCCACAGCCCCGCTCGGCCGCCCGTCTGGGGACGGGCCTGTCCACCCCACCCCTCCGCAGAAGGCCCACAGGAGGCAATGCATGCCCCCAGAGGTCTCAGATCCCATCACATGGTTCCGCGTGGGAAATACCTGGTTTGATCAAAGGAAGTGGCGTTAAAGAAAATAGTAATGATAATGGTAATAGCTAACATTAACGCAGCACCTACTACGCGCCAGGCATTCTGCCAAGGGCTTTACATAGACTGTCTCATTTGATCCTCACAACAACCATGAAAGGCGGGCGCTATCGTGATCCCCATGAGGAAACTGAAACAGACAGAGGGTTAGTGACTGACCCAGGGTCACACAGCCAGGAAGTGTCTAAGGCTGGATTTGAACTCAGATCTTCCTGACTCTGCCAGGTCCAATGTTCTATCCACTGGGCCACCTAGCTGCCCCCTACTAAACGCACTATTATCAGGATTGCCGCTGTACCCTAAGGACTGCTGGGCCTTTCCGTTTGACTTGACAATCTGTGTGTTGTTTTCAGCAGCACGGTGTGCAGGGCGCTGGGCCTGGAGTCAGGAAGACTCCTCCTCGTGAGTTCGAATCTGGCCTGAGACGTTTCCTAGCTGTGTGACCCTGGGCAAGTCACCTAACCCTGTTTGCCTCAGCTTCCTCATCTGTCAAATGAACTGGAGAAGGAAATGGCAAACCACTCCAGTGTCTTTGTCAAGAGAACCCCCCAAAGGGGGCCTAACCCTAAGAGTCAGAACTGAAAACAACTGAACACAACCACCTCCTTTAGAATGTGAGCTCCTTGAGGCCTCCTTCTATCCCCAGGGCTTGGCCCAGTGCTCTTCACGTAGTAAGTGCTTTTCCATTCATTCATGCATTCATTCATTCATTCATTCATTCATTCATTCATTCATCAAGTCATCCTGACACACAACCTCTATGTCCCACTTCCAAGTCTTTGCCTAGGCTGTGTCCCTTTGCTTGGCAAATGCTCTCACTTCCCCTCAACCTCTTCAGTCAATTTCCTACTTTCTTCTCCTATAGAATGGAAGTTTCGTGAGGCCAGGGACAGCTTCCTCTCTGCCTCTGTCTCCCTCCGGCCTGGCTCAATACCCAGCGCACGGCAGGTGTTTCAGAACGCTTGCTTGCTTTGCTGAGGGCCCAAATGCCCAAGTTGCTCATCAGTACTCCAGGGACGGCCATGCTCTCCATCTCGCTTCCCAGGCCTCCCTCAGCCCTGCCCGAGCCCCCTCTGCTCCGGGGGTCCCAGGGCCAGCCCCTACCTGGGTGTCACTGTGGACGTGGAGGCTGTGGGGAAAGCTGCCCTGCTCACACGGGTTCTCCTGAGACACCAGGCTGCAGAATGTCACCGAGACAGGGGAGCTGGAGCTGGGGAAGACAGTGGGAGCAGGAGGGGAGGTTGAACCCCGGCCGGCCAGGCCCCCCCACTCGCGCCCCTCCCCCTACCTGGACCCCCAGGCACATACTTCATCTGCAGGGTCACGCTGAGGTGGAGGGGGGTGTTGCTGCTGATGGGGATGCGGTAGGTGAAGTTCCCTGGCCTGCGGGAAGGACAAATGCTGGCCAGTGAACCGCCCACCCCACTCCTCTTCCCAGTCTGGGATGGCCATCCCTCTGGGGGGCCTCAGGCGGTCCGCCCCCCACCACTGGGAGAAGCCGGATCCCTCAGGGAGCACCTCTGCTCACCTGCAGGTGTCACCTGGAGCACAGTACTGGGACGTGATGGGCAGAGAGTTCTCCAGGACCTGGATAGAGCTCAGGGTGGGCCGTGCTCCTGCAGGGACAGAGCAGGAAGGGCCAGGGCCGGCCTCAGGCAACCGGCCAGGGGCAGGGCTCCCCTGACTTCCTGGGGTTTGGAGGCCCGCTGAGGATCCCTCCCGTCACTGAAACGAGGGATGAGAGGGAAGGGAAACAGGAGGTCAGCTCACTTGATCAAGGGACATGCCGGCCCGCATCCTTACCGAGCGGGCCGTCGGAGCGGGTAGGCGGGGGCATGGCAGGGCTCAGCAGGGGGGCCCTGCGGCGGGCGCGGGCGGGGATAGATAGGTTGGGGCTGTTCTTGGCCTTGCCCTGCACGCCAGTGAAGGGGGCTGAGGGGCTGGCTGGGGGCTCCAGGCTCTTGGGGGGCTTGACGTGGGCGATCCCGTTGGCCGAAAGGCCCCAAGACTTGGCTCTGATGCTGGTGACCGGCAGCAGCGAGGTCTGGCTCGGGCCTGTGGAGAGGGAGAAGGTAGGCTGAGGGCACCCCAGAAGGGATGGAAGGCAGAGCCCTGCCCTCCTCCCCCTGCCCCTCCCCCACTTCCAGCCATACCTGAGCGGTTGGCAGTGGGGCTGGGGGCAGGGCTCTGGCCAGAGGAGGGGCTCGGGGTGGGCAGGGAGCAGCAAACGACGGGACAGGGTGGACTGAGGCACAGGTCCAAGTGACGGACAGTGAGGGCGGGGGCAGAGTCTGGCAGGCCAGTGGCAGCTGGGAGATGAGGCAGGAGAGATGGGAGATGAGTCAGGCTGAGGCATCAGAGTGATGATAATACCAACTAACGCTTACAGAGCACCTACTGTGTGCCAGGCACTGTGCTAAGCACTTACAAATATTATCTCACTTCATTCAATAAACATTTATAGAGCACCTACTATGTGCCAGGTGCTGTGCTAAGCACTTACAAATATTATCTCACTTCATTCATTCAATAAACATTTAGAGAGCACCTACTGCGTGCCAGGCGCTGTGCTAAGCACTTACAAATATTATCTCATTCCATTCATTCCATAAACATTTATTAAACATCTACTATATGCCAGGCACTGTGCTAAGCAATTTACAAATATCTCATTTCATTCATTGAATAAACATTAAGCACCGACTATGTGCCAGGCATTTTGATTCTTACAACGACCCTGGTAGGCAGGTGCTATTATGATCCCCATGTTTACAGATGCACAAACTGAGGCAGGCAGTGGTTCAGTGACCAGACACAGCCAGGACGTGTCTGAGGCTGCGTCTGAACTCGGGTCTTCCTGATGCCAGGCACTCAGCTGTCCAGCCCCCACGTTAGCCTGGCCCCCGGCCCTTGGACTCTAGCCAGCCCCTCTGTCTCTCCTGTAAGGGGGGAGGGGGAACGCACCGGGCTGGGAGGAGGGCTGGGGGCCTGGAGGGCTGCTGGAGGCTGGGGACTGGCGGAGTTGAGTGGTCCCGTAGCTTTGACTCGACCTGCCATGGGAACACAGGGGCTGAGCTTGAACGCCCAACAGCGGTGAGAGAGAGAAAAGACGGGACAGTGCCGAGTTAGGGAAGATTAGGAAAAACAGGAGAGGCCAAGGTGCGATGAGACAGCAGCGGGCGGCTGGAGACGTCCAGCCCGGAAGGGACCTTTGAGGCTCTGCATTCAACTCTCTGACTTGATAGCGGAAGCGGGAAGTGGGGGGGCGGGGCAGAGTCAGGATCTGAATCCAGGGCTTTGCCCTAGCTGGGCTGGAGAGGAAAACAAAGGGGTGGGAAGCAGGGGCGGGAGGACGGATGGAGAAGCTGGATGAAGGGGTGCCCGGCATGCTGGGGCTGGGGGGATACAACAAAGGCAGAGACAGTCACGTACCATGGACACAGGGCCACACTCTCCCCGGGGTCCCGGGGCCGGAGGAGGGCCAGAAGACAGGAAGCAGACACAGCGAAAGAGCTAAGGACAAGTGGAGGGGGAGGGGGAGGTAGGGCGAGGAGGAGAAACAGGAGACACACATCAGCAAAGGCCCCCCAAGAAGAACTGGGGAGAGAAGAGTCAGAGACACCCCTCCCCCAGGCCCCAGGGCCTGGCCCAAAGGAGGCGGGGGGGGGGGGAGAGGGGGGGGCTTCATGTAGAAAGACCAGAGACAGAATGGAGCCCAGGGCGGGGGTCCAGGTGCTTTTCTGCCCTCCTCCCACCAGGCCTCAGTTTCCCCCTCTCATCAGTGATACTTACCCTAAGAGATCTGCCAAGGAAAAGCTGGCTGTGGCCCCCTGAGCCCCCAACCCACATGGTCCCCTCTGTAAAGCTGCCCCGACAGGCCACACCCCCCCCAGCCCCCCACCTCCGGCTTTGTAAGCTTCCTTCAGCAAGCCGGACTGGGGCCCACCGCCCACATGGGCTGTCCCTCTCCACCCAGTTACCGGCTTCGGGCCCCAAGGGGACCTACCCATCCATGCCCACTAGATCTTCCTCGTTCCGAAGGCTGAGCACATACAGCGTCGACATGGACACCACGCTGGCGATCAGAGACGGAAGAAGGAGAGCCGTCAGCTGTGGAGTCCTCCCCCCCCACCTGGCCAGTCCTCCCCTCCCAAAGCTGGATCCAAGACACCCGTCCCTTTGTGCGCATGCCCCACCCGGACCCTCGGGCCAGCCAAGGCCGTGATCAGAAGGAGAGTGTCCACCAGGGAGGACAGCGTGGCCTGGGCCAGGCAGCCCCCCGTGGGTGCAGCCGCCCTCAGAAACCCTGGGACGGTGGATCAGAGGCAGGCCCTCCCCTCAGATCAGGGCCCTGCCGGAGGCCATCCGTCCCAGAATACCCCGCTGTCGCCCTCGGCCGTCACCTGAAGGCCATGACCACCACCAGGGCAATGATGGTCCCCTGCAGGAAGCGCTGGCTGATGCAGGCCTGGTCCGGCACCACGGAGGGCGACTGCAGGGGAAAGACACCGAGACCCAGAGAGATGAGGATTCCAGAGCAGGGTGCCCCTCGGGGGGGGGCTCCGGGAGGGGCGTGGGAGAGCCCCGATCCCCCCTCCCAGACCCTTCACCTTGCTGGTCATCTTAGGGGGACGCTTCTTGTGGGGGACACTCCCGGCTCGGCTGAACTGGCTGTCTGCTTGGCTGCGGCGAGAGGGGCTGGGTCAGAAGGAGCCGGACGAGGACGGCGCCCGCCCCCCCCAGCCCCGACCCCGCCGGCGCCCCGCAGAGGCCCACCTGAAGGCGCCCGAGCTGCCCGTGGACTTCATGCTGTCCAGCCGGCGCAGCTTGGCCAGCTTGTGGCTCCAGCGCTCCAGCTCATCGATGCGCGTCTCCAGGTTGTCCGTCAGCTTGCAGAGCTCCTTCACGGCCCCCACGTTCTCCATGAAGATCCGCTCCTGCCCAGAGACACGCAGAAACCCATGCACGCCGGGCGGGCGGGTGCCCGCCCTGGCTGGGGCTTATCCCCTAATGCCCTCCCTCGTGGGGGGCCGACCCAGGCAGGTTCAGACCACAGCTCTGTCAATGACTGGTCAAGTCACCTAACCTCTGTGCCTCAGTTTCCTCATCTGTAAAATGAGGGGGCTGGCCACCATGTGGTCTCCATGTCCCCTATTTTAAGGTCTCCTCCAGTTCTGACATTCAAAGTTCTATATTCTAAGGCTCCTCTCAGCTCTGACACTCCATGTTCTAAGGTTCCTCCCAGCTCTGACTTTCCACATTCTAAGCACCCA